AATTCTCAGAAGGCCATGCCCACACAGAGCCCTCATTGGCTATGACCCGATTGACAGACTGGACTCCACCCCTTCACTCTTAATCCTCTCAAGTCCCAAATTGACACCAGTTATGTAACTACCACACCGCCTATGAGTGTTGAGTCTGTGATTTCTGTTTTCATCTTCTGAATATTTTGAAAAATTTTGCATATCTCTCATTAGGTGCATGTATATTTATTATGCTCACTGATTCCTGGTCTACTGATTCTTTGATCATTACATAGTGCCCATCCTTGTCTCTTATTATTGTTTGCACTTGAGGTCAATTTTGTCTGAGATTAGGATTAAAGCCCCTGCTTTTTTAAAGTTGTCATTTGCCTGGTATATTTTCCACCAACCTTTTATTCTTAGTCTGTTTTTGTCTGCAAGTGTTACATGTTTCTTGTAGGGAACAGATTGATGGGTTATGTTTTATGAGCCTATATGCTAACTTTTGTCTTCTAATGGAAGAATTCAGTTCATTGACATTCAGAGTTATTACCACCATCTGTGGATTTGTTGCTGTCATCTCAGACTTTTGGGGTTGGGTGTTTTCCTATCTCTCTTCATATCAGTGTGCTGTGTTGATGTGGGGAGCGTCACTCTTGCCTTCTTTTCTCTTTGAGGCAATGTTATCTTGATAATTGTTTTCAGCTTCAGACTTCTGGATTCAGTTGCGCTATATGGTGGTCTCCTACTTGTGCATGATGGATGTTGGTCTTCTGACAGCAGTGAGTGGGCAAGGATTTTCTGCAGGGTTGGGTGTCTTATGGTGTATTCTTTGAGTTTGTCCTTGTCTGTGAAGACTCTTGCCTCATTGTCTATCTTAATAGAGAGTTTGGCAGGGTAGAAGAATCTCAGGTTAGCATTTTTTTCTGTCAGCTTTCGGAAGATTTTACTCCACTCTTTCCTCCTCTTCATGGTATCTGCTGATAGGTCTGAGCTTGTTCTTACTGAGCACTATTGTATATGACTGCCTTTTTTTCTCTTGCTGCTCTTAACATTTTCTTTTTCCTCAAAGTTGGATAATTTAACTATTATATGCCTTTGTGAGTTCTTCCTGGGAGTTAGTCTCATTGGTATCCTCTCTGCTTCCTGTATGAACGTCGGCCTCTTGACTTGCATTCATTATGGTGGGAAAGTTTGCTTTCAGGAATTCCCTCAATAATTTAGCTGTTGACTTCTTCATTGTGTCTTGTTCTGGTAGACCAATTATTCAATTATTGTTACTCTTCATAGCATCTGCATTGTTCTCAGATTTCCTTGCACCTCTGATTATCCTGTTTGACTGTCTTAGCCATTGTGTTGAAGTCTGCCTGATTGTCTGCAAGATTGCTGGTATGATTCTCCATCTCTTCTAGTGTGTTAGTGAGGTTGGTTATCTTGTTTTTTTGCCTCTGTTACCTCATCCATTAGTTCTTATATTTCTCTTTGGTGTGTGGACTTCATCCCGTCCATCATGGACTTCATCTCCTCTTTCATTGCATCCTTTTTCTGCCTTGCTTCCCTCATATCCTGTATTACTCCAAGCAGCATTCTGAAGATATCTTTTTGTGGCAGATCAACATTTATTTCTTCCATGAGTGTTATTCAGTTTAGAACTTCCTCCACTGTTGTGTTTTGTTTTTCTTGTTTTCTTGTTGAGGGTGTTGAGGTATATTGCTGTCTGTGTGTCATTTTGGCAGAACTTGTCACCATATTCCAATGAGACCGAGGGGCCCTGAGCTCTCTCTGTGAGAATGGTCAGAGTAGTTTGGGGGACTACCTATGACCTACTATTGTGGTGGGTAAGACTACTGTATAGGTGAGGTGCCATGGCAACTCATTGGCCAGCGTTGGTAGGAAGGATAAGAGTGGGCTGAGGCCAGTGACTGTATACATGACACTGGGCTTGATTGGGGAAGTCCTGCAGACTGGGCACAAGCCTGGTCTGGACTCTCTGGCAACTATTTAATCTTTCAAAGACGCTCTGTGGAACCAAAACCTGGTAGAACCAGTTTTTTACTTTGACTTTGACTTTCAGCCCCTGTTAGCTTTTCCTGTTTTGTTACATTAAAATCCAAAGCTGTGCTCTGAGGATATGAGTTCTGTCTTGTTATGTTAATGTTATGCTAAATGACCAGGTTTCTGGTGGCTTACGTTCAAAGTTATACAAAGGAACACAGTCTGGATTGAAAGCATTTTTGTTGTTGTTTTGTTTGTTTGGTTTTTTTGTTTTGTTTTCAAATACCTTTATTGGGGGCTCTTACATCTCTTATCACAATCCATATTCATCCAGTGTGTCAAGCACATTTGTACATATGCTGCCATCATCATTTTCAAAGCATTCTCTTCCCACTTGAGCTCCCCCTCCCATCCTCTCTCATGAACGCTTGATAAGTTATAGATTATTATTTCCATATCTTACATAGTCCTTTGTCATGCCTCACCCACTTTTCCTTATTCATCCACCTGGGAGGGGGTTATAGATTTATCCTTGTGATCGATTGGTTTTCAATTGTATAATGGGCTTGTGGGGTGTCCTGGTATTGGGACTATGCCCTGCTGTCCTCCAGGGAAGGGGGACCAGATTAGCTGAGTGGTTGGGGGGCCAACTGGATCTGAATTTTCACTGGCTGCACTTCTGTGCCACTCCTGGTTCTCTCATGCATAGCTTTGAAGGCTGTGCTACAGGGGTCTGCATTCTGCCAAGGGTAAATATCCCAAGGGTTCTTCAATTGCTGAAAATTAGTGTCTAATTATCTATTGTGACCCATGCTGGCAGGGGCAGAGCTGGAGAGGGAGGAAATGAGATGACCAATGTAATCACTCCATTCCTGGTTGGGGAGGGGAGATGCAAAGCCCAAAAATTCAGGTGTGGGGAGGATAGCACAAAGGGGAACTATGGTATGAGGTCATGTGGCCAGTTCTCAGAGGCTCTTCGAGAGCCTGGGATTATGACCACCTTTAGACAGCAGCTTGGGTAAATTACTGCACGCACTGTGCGTCTCAGATCTTGTGCACAGGAAGGGGTGACGGATGCTGTCCCGCTGAACCTGGTGAGGGTTTAGCAGAGCCCGAGGGCAGACTCAGTGAATTTACAGTGTTACAGCCAGTGCTTAATTCGCTCCCTGGGCAAAAATCACAGGGGGTAGTCTGAACCAGATCTTAGTATACTGAATGTATTTTTAGCACCCAGTTCCCCAATATTGGCCTCCTTACCTCTTAATTTTCTGATCTAATAACAGGAGCACCAGGTAATGATTCTACCTGAAAGCCATCTTGACTTCTCCTCTGTAGACAGCCATTTTGGTGTCATTCCTCTGACAGTGTCACCCAATGTGGTCTACATCACTGTACCCCATAGTGATGTCACTGGTTTTCAGTAGACAATGCTGAAATGCATCAAAAATTTGTTCAATAGAAAATTTCCAAAATATTTATATATTTTATCTATATTGAGACATGCAATTTAGAAATCTTTACCAAGCATTATGTCCTTTTCTAGGGCCTGGTATCTCCTGGTAACATGTCCAAAGTGTGTGAGATGAAGTTTTGCAATCCTTGCTTCTAAATAACATTCTGGCAGTACTTACTCTAAGAGATGTTTATATATTCCCTGGCAGTCCCTTATACTTTCAATATTCTTTGCTAAGAGCTTCATTCAAATGCAAATTATAGAATTAAAACACATCAATTACTGTCACACATCCCATATTTGTAAGAAAAGCCTCTGGTAGGACATAATCCACAAGTTCACTTGACTCATATAATTTCATTGAGAACTGACTCACAGGTTGAAAGACATTCCTAGGGTTTCAAGATAGATATCCAAGCTCACCAATCTACAACAATTCTATATCGCTGAGATTCTATAACATGCTTTCTGATGAGAACACCTAAAAAATTTGTGGAATATTTCACCATCAAAAACTGCCTGAAAAAATAAAATGTTAAATTATAAAAGTGGATTATCTTGTAGAAATCCAGGCAGCAGGAAGCTAACTGGGATGCACAGAATAACTACTCAAGACATGAGATTGAGTCATGAGGGAAAGAGAGATATTCAAAGGAGAGCAGGCCTCTTGAGCTACTCCGACTGCCAGATTTTATTTGCACATTGAAGGAGGAAGCTTACAAAAATTCAAACTCAGGGGCTATTTAGAGCACAGTGCCTTCAGACTAAGATGTTCTCATGGTTCATAGGTAACAAACATTGTCACATAAGAGCACATTCAGACCTAAAGGAGATTCCTGTTGTTTGTGACAAGGAATTTCCTTATCACTCAGCATTTGTGCCAAGTTCCTGACACAAATAGTCCTGGCATACAAAGAGTCACACACTCAAGGTTTAATCAGTCTTTGTACCCAAGTAACTCTCCTAGGGGAAAGAGGTCATTGTTTCCCTACACTGGCTGTATTTCTTTTCTTCAGTCATCTTTTTGTCAGCAATTTGACATGTATTTACATAACCACATTTTATGATTTTTCCTATCTCCAGTGCCAGAGGATAGGAAAGGAAAGAGATATAGTCAGAATTCTAGCCCCAGCAGCTCAGAATAACCTTTTAACCTTATCCAATAGGTCTCCACCCTCTCCTAGTCCATGCCCCCTCACTACCCACACTTTTTAAAATTTGCTTTAGCCTCTAAATTACTCCTGTATTTCATACCTCTGCAATCAAGTGTCAATGCCCTCTTACTGTGGAATTTCCTTGTTCCCTGAAGGTTCCATACCCCTATATTAAGAATTCATTTTTTCTCAAAATATACTTCCCAAAGCATGTTCCAGCCAGTCATTCTAAACCAATGTTTTCAAATCTTCTTGGATAGTTCTTCAGAAATTATTCACTTGGTTCTCATTTTTTTGCATTAACATTAGAATTCTGCCCCATGCCCCACCACTAAGAAAAGGAGTTTTCACATCATAACCTGTAATCTCTTTACCAAAAGCCAAGGCAGGATCATGAACACTCACGGTGTTTGTTTCTCCTCCCTTAGGATTTATGCATCTGGTTGGAGGGCATGGACCCTGCTCGGGGCAAGTGGAAGTGAATTCAGGAGAGGACTGGACTCCAGTGTCTCATGTCAATTTTACACTCCTCACTGCCCAGGTCATCTGTGCAGAGCTGGGGTGCGGCAAAGTTGCATCTGTCCTGGGGGAAGTGCCCTTGAGTGATGCCAATAGAAAGGTCTGGAATGAGGAATTCCAGTGTAAGGGAGAGGAAGCTGAGCTCTGGCTCTGTCCCAGAGTGTCCTGTCCCAGAGACACTTGTCCCCACAGTAAAACTGTACACATTGTCTGTTCAGGTGAGACTCACAGGAGATCTTTAATTTGCCTTCATATTCTCTTGGGGTAAGAAAACACATGTTGCTGAAATTCATCTTCTTCCACCAGAATACACAGAAGTCCGGCTCATTAAAAATGGCAACGCCCAGTGTGAGGGACAAGTGGAGATGAATATTTCTGGAGTCTGGAGGCCACTCTGTGCCTCCCACTGGAGCATGGCCAATGCCAATGTCGTCTGTCATCAACTGAAGTGTGGAGTCGCAGTCTCCACCCCACGAGCATCCTCTCAGGAAGGAAGGGAGCAGATCTTGAAGCACAGATTTCACTGCTCAGGACTCGAGTCGTTTTTGTGGAATTGCCCTGTGACTGTCCTGGGGCTTCCTGAGTGTGCCCAGGGAAACACGGCCTCTGTGATCTGCTCAGGTGAGAGAGGAGGAGGGGCTCTCTCTCTGTTGCCCTGGTTTCTCCTTGGCCCCTGGATGCTGCCTTTGGTGTCTCAAAATGGCCAGATGCAGTAGAGAGCCCTGCTCCATCTAACTCCTCCGTCACTGTTTTTAACTCTGCCTCCCTTCTCATCACTTTTAATCCAATTATTTATACTCTTGTCTTTTGCTCAAGGATTATCATCTCCATGTATGTCACTCAATTTTTCCAGTATCTATTATAGAGGAATTAGACAGAGTGTGTCACTAGGAGGTCATCTTGTTTCCAACCTTTATTTGCCATTTTTTAAACTTTATCTTTCAGTATATTCTGTTTCGTCTTACTTCTTTGACTCTATATTATGTTGTATTCCAAGTCATTGTTTACAACAGTGCTTCAATCATACTTTCATGTAAAGTATCCCATAAAAAGATCACATGAAAATATATTGACCCATATAACTACTGGCAGTGATTTGTTTCTAATCACTGACTATAACCCGTAATGATACTACAAATCATGTGACCATGACTTTTGTGTAAATACATATGTCTTATCTGGGGTGTTCAACATTTGCCATTTTGTTTTCACAATTAATAATTTTTTATTAAATAGTCATTTTATTTGTGGCTTATACAACTCATCACAATCCGTACATACATCATTTGTGTCCAGCACATTAGTACATATGTTGACTTCATCATTCTCACAACACCCGCTTTCCACTTGAGCCCTTGGTGTCAGCTCATTTTCCCCCTCCCTCCCCACTTCCCCTTCCCCCTGAACCCTTGATAATTTATAAATTATTATTTTTTTATCATCATATCTTATAATAAATTTTAATGAGCCATAGTTCTAATTTTAATGAATATGAATCCATTAATTTTTTGCACATACTTGAAGCTTCTTATCTTCATTTTAAAAGAGTTTTATTAGTAAAGATCATGAAAATACTCTTTTACACATTTTTTTAGAAGTTTAATTGTTTTTTTATATACTTGTTCAATTCTTGTGCAATTTATTTCTGCATCTGATGTGATGAAGGGGTCAAGCTTTGTATTCTTACATGGATTTCTAATTGGCTCATAATCCTTTCTTAAACATGTTTTCCTCCTGCAGTGCCACCCTTATCACAAACAGAGTTCATGTATATTTGAATATTTTCTAGACTCTCCATTCTTTCCACATTATCAATTTTCTATTCTTTCACCAATATTGTACTTCTTTAATCACTTTCCAGTGTATCCAATTCCTTAATCACTTTTAATGTATCCAGTTCCTTAATCATTTTCCTTTATTTTATAACCATTTTGGGGGCTCATACAGTCCTTCTTTTTTTTTTTAAATTGTTTTACTGAGGCTCATATAATTCTTCACAATCCATACATACATCAATTGTGTAAAGCACACTTATACATTTGTTGCCCTCATCATTCTCAAAATTCACTTTCCTCTTGGGTTCCTGGAATTAGCTCCTCATTTTCCTTTTCCCCTCCCCCTCCTTCCCAGCCCCGCTTCACTATGAACCCTTAATACTTTATAAATTATTATTATACCTTATCTTACACTGCCCGGCGTCTCCCTTCACCCATCCTTCTGTTGCCCATCCCCCAGAGAGGAGGTTATATGTAGATCCTTGTATCTATTCCCCCTCTCTACCTTCCCTCCCCTCCCAGTCTCACCACTGTCACCGCTGGTCCTGAGGGGTTCATCTGTCCTAGAGTTCCTGTGTTTCCAGTTCCCATCTGTA